GTGTGTGTGTGTGTGTGTGTGTGTGTGTGTGTGTGTGTGTTCTAAGACTATGCAAATCTTAGCTAGACCTTAGAGAACACAAAAATTACTTGTTTAGTTGGTTTTTCAGATGTAGTGCTGAAATTTGTGATGGTAACTGAGTCATTTGTAGCACATGCATCACATACTCTTCATAGCAGCCAGTTTTACACTTTTTGTTGACTCAGCCATATGTTAGAAGCTACCTGACCCATCAAAACAAACTGGACTTTGGATTGGGCTGCAGTATTGGAGATAACGAAGTACAAAGCCATTAAACTCCCAAAGTTAAAGCGAGAGCTTGTGAATATCTACAACCTTTTAATGGATACCAATAAAAAGTACCAGTGCAGTAATTTAAAAATCCCCCATTTTAAGCATGGKAAGAACTTTGAAATAGGAGGCCAAAAAATGTAGAAAAGAATCTTGTTGCTTAAGATTAACAGACATGTATATTTTTATTTAATGCTGAATTGTGCATTTGAAATCATTTAAATTTAAATGAATAAACCAAAAAAATAAAAATAAATAAAAAATGCTCCTGTTTCAGGTTGAATGATGCTCCAGTGAGAGGCTACGAGGACGATGTTGGGAACAAAACCACAATGAGGTTCTTCTACCCGGAGTCAGCCTACTCCAACCCCATTTTGCAGAACGATCCAGATACACTCATGGTTATGGTGCCTTTTAAAATGCAAGATCTTCGCTGGCTGAAAGAGATCCTCTATAATGAGAAGAGGGTACACGACACACACATACATACGCACACATTCCTTACACGAACCCATGCTGTTTAATTTCTTTTCCAGCTCCTTCCAGTCTTCCATGTCAGGAACAAATACTTAAACCGTGTTAAACTTCTGCAAAGCCACTGCCTTTCTCAGAGTTAAATGTAGTTTCCATCACACACATCCTTCACTCTGTTGCTCCTGGCATCTCCGGCCTCCTACCACTAATGGTTACAAGGTCATTACCCGCTAATTTGCACATGGATTTAGTAGCCTCCAGAAATGAGGGAGTCAACAGTTCAATTGTATCTCTGCTTGCATAAATGAACTCCATCTGTCAAAAAAAATCATTTCCTTTTGTGTACAGACTTTTTGTTCTTTTTGCTTTTTGCTCAATAACATCCTGGCTTTTATCTCTCTCTGCTCATTTATACATTCAAGGTTAGGAAAGGCTTTTGGAAGCCTCCGCCCCTAATCTGGTTGGGTGACCCCAGTAAGACCCGAGTGTTGGACCCTCATATATTCCAACAGGCTGCTGACAATTTTCTCAAGATTTCTAATAAAAAAGGAAAGGTGAGGCATCACTTTCACAACACTACACTTGTGTGGATTGTTTTGGAGGCAGAACTTTTGATATAGAACAAATTCAAATTGTTTATTTATCAAACAAATTTTGAGTACCATCAAGTCCTGTTGCTCTGTAATTGTAGTAACAGTGGCTCATGTTTTTTTATTTAATTAATTAAATTTATTTTTTGTTCTTTGCATTCTGTGAACCCACTTTTCTCACACTAAAACCCTCTTCTTCTCTTTTGGTTGTTGCTTTCATTACATGCCCCTCTTTATTTTTCCTGCCTGCCTCTCACTGGTTCCCACATGAATGTTAACAAGGCTGGATTCACTGATTAGTCACAATTCCTCAAGCAAGTTGTTTAGAGTTCTGTCTTAACAGTTTATTTAAAGAGTCACACTCCTAGAAAGGTTGTTGCCTTTATATTGAAAATCATTAGGGATTTTTGGGATCCAGTTACTCCTGAAGGTGAAGATTAGCTACTGTTTGGCATTCGAGCATCTCATTACAGGAAGCCGTGTCTTTAAGGGCTGCACAATAAATCCTTGGATAATTGGTTTTTGAAGTATAGCCAAAAAATATTATACATTTTTACAATCTGTTTGTAAACAAGATTTCTCTTCTCTGGAAAGTCAACATTTGGAGCTTGTTTTTGCTGATTTTCTATTTATTTAGTTGAAGTTGCTTCAGACTAAAAGCTTTTCTTACCGGTAATTAAAGAAATTAAATGGCCCAACATTACTTGAAAGAATCCAAATCCCCTTCTGCCTTTCATACCATGATTCATTTCTTCAAGTTATTTTGCTAATTGATACATGCACAGATAAAAACATTATCAGCAAAGGAAACTGGAACCATAACTCTTAACATGCTTATTGGAAAGATGTGATTGTGCAATGACCAAACAAAGAAATGCATCACTTTTATTTTCCCCAATCTGATTGTGAAATTCTGGGTTTTCAGTTGGGTTTTATTATACTCTTTTTGGAATGTAGTTTTATTTTGCTCCTTCACTAAGTGAGGCTTGTGGGCTTAGTCCCTGGTTTGGGTCTGAGCCAAGCTTTGTTTTGGTTCTGGTTGTTTCTCCTCTCCTGGAGACAATCCGAAAACAGGAATGTTGCTCTTCTGGGGTTTAGTGCGAACACAACTGGTAGGTGCATGAGAGGAGTGAGCGGTAGGAGGGTGGCCGTCTTACAGGCAGTCAGTAGGCTCATCCAACAGGAGCTCTGTGCCATCTGCTCACACTATACAGGAAGAGCCAGGGGCCAGAGGAATGTAGGCATGCAGAGGAGCACCGAGCAGGGGGTTGTGACTTTTGATGAAACCGTGGCCTTAAGTCAGGTTTTGCTGTCAGTCAATCAAAAACTCAAAGTAAAAAAAAAAAGAAAAAGAAAAGAAAAAATAATAAATAAAACAAAAGTTAATTTTTTTTGTTTACATCTTTTAGTCTAGTTGTAAGTCTTTTGTATTTCACATCACCAAAAGCTGAGAGTACGGTAAATGTCTTTGTGTTACWTGTGTTCTTGTGCCTTTATATTAGCAAAATATCTCTTGAACCACTGGGCAAATATTAATAATACTTCCAAACAATCATTTAATGCACATCTACATTAATTATCTTTTGGAGACAGTCCAATTCAAGATGGCCTYCACAGCTAACTGACCCTAGCAAACACGTTACTTATGATTTAGTCAGTTTTACAGGTGTGTTAAAATTTAGTTTGGTAGTWGCTTCGAGTCATTCACCACACATACTCTCTGTATAGTAGGGCTATTCAGCTGGCGGCGCACGGGCTGGATATGGCCCGCGAGTGACCAAATTTCAGCCTGCCCATTTGTTCATTCATGTCTTAAGCCCAGGTTTTCTACTTTAATTACTCTTAAGTTCTTTTAGTTAGACATAGAAGTGTGGTATCTACAAAAACATTAGAATCCTAGCTAGAAGCTGGTAAAAATTATTCCTTTGAACACCCAGGAGTTATTTTTGTTTTTGTCRTTGTTTTATTGTAACTACTTGTATTATAAGGTTCTGTATGTTGTATTCATGATTAAATGCAGCATAATAAACTATTTCAAAGGTAACAGATCTTTGTAATACTTGGTTTATTTACATAATGACTTTAATTGCTGGATGTTTGGCCCTTGTGCTGTTGGCCTGCAGTAACTTTGCCYCCCAGAGGAGTTTAGTTGAATAGACACGGTGTATAGTGTTGAGTATGACTCTCCGCTACTACCACACTAATTTTAATACAACATCTGTAAAACTGACCAAATTACAACCATTGTTGTGTTGGATAGTGTTGGTTACTGTGGTGGCCACCTTGAATTGACTCAAGAGTTGTTGAAATAAATCTATTACTTTCTGAAATTTTCATTCAAATCTGTATTTGTAGCTAGTGATTCTGATTGTGTTTAGACCAGCAGAGGAGGCTTTGCTTGTCCTTGATTGTCCACCACTGGTGTGGATTAAAACCAGACTATAGGTTAATATCTGTAAAACAAAGTGAGTTTTAACCATTTTTTGTTTTTAAAGTCAGTTAGCTGTGGTGACCGTCTTGAAGTGGGTTGWTGTACATCCARTGATTACTATCTAAAAGTTTCAGTAAARCCTGCCCAGTGGTTCATGAGATTTTTTTTCTAAAAGACAGGTACAGGGTGAGTCAAAAGTCACACTTTGATTACATAAGCAAAAGGGAAAATGATATATTTTAATACCCCTGCAAGTAATGTGTAGAAAAGCATGCCCATGATCCAATATGGCAGCCATGTTCWGTATTATTACACACCTTTAAAAATAGAATGATAAAAATAGAACAATTTCAGAATGCCACCAGGGTGTGTTTTTAAAAATGTAAAAAAAAAAATTCTCAGATTTTGTCACAATTAAAAATAAACTTTGATCATTAGTTGTTGAATTTTTGGAAATGGGTCCATGTGTTTCTCAAACCACTCACAGAAACGTCCCTTTCTGTCAGATGTGGCTCTACGGTTGCGTACCAGTTTCTATAATAAACAGCTCTCTRTGAGACGGCACTCGTATGCACACTGTTATTCAAAATACCAACAGAAAATTTTTGTTTGTGAAAGTTGACTGAGTAGCATTTCCTGTGCAAAAGCTGCTTTTGTGCAGGTGTAGACAGTACATCATTTAAAAAAAAAAAGAGTTTTGCACGCTCCAGTGAGACACTGGACATAAACACATTTCCTGAGTGGACAAAGTTATTTTGGTGAGAACTTAATGATAGCAAGAGGAGCGGAACAAGAGAGCGATAAGAAAAGACTGATGGGAAATTACTTTGTGTAAACAGGTTCTGCAGGTCACGAGGAAGAAATTTTTCAACTTATTTCTGTTTCATGAAAAACAAATCACTGTCAAGGAAATTTAGTGCTAGATTTATTTTCTTTGATTTCCTAAAAAAATAAAAAATCTAGACTCAAATCATATGCTATTTTTTCTAACATTATCATAATAATAACAAATATTGACTCATTCTACGTTTACCCTTTTCTCATTACATTTCATTCTTTTTTGCTATTATTATTTTTTTTCTTCCAAATTGTAGGTCGACATTGATATTGTTCAGATATTTCTTAAACTTTTGGTGCCAAAAGTGGTATATGTTCAATCTTTTTTTTTCTGTGTTTTCAAGTGCAAAAATATTTTACAGCAACAAGCAATAATGAATCAAAGATTATTAAAGTCTGTTATTTTTCTGTGGCTAGATACAATATATGTTGATGGTGTAAATCACAAGAAATCATGAAGGACGTGTCCCTTTTTTTAGATCAGTGCAAATAATATATTTATTATTTGGATTAAAAAAAAAGATCTTCGCTAGTGTTGTAGTACTTGAGACTGGTCTTTGTTATAAGACTGGTCTTAAGACCACTTTTTGATGGTCTTGGTCTGGTCTCTGACAACAGCATTTGTACTCGTCTTGTCTCGATCTCCAACATTGAGTACTCAGAATTTGATTTCAAGACCACAACTATGGAAATATTACTAAATAGTCACAATATTTTCCATTTTAATTGTTAACATCTTTGCTTTCGTTGGATATAAAACATACTGATTCAAATCCAAACCTGACTCACTGCTTTTTATGTATTTTTTGTTACCGACTGTCACCCATCCCCACCCTGCTTCACTCACACGCGGCACTCCAGCAAAGTGAACAAGGAGCAGGAGAAGATGTCTGCAAATCTTTCAGTAAAACAGTTTGGATACATAAATCATAAAGCATATCACTGTAAAACAACATCCAGGAAAAARTTTACAGGAACTAATAAATTCTGCAGTGCTTCACTTGCAGCGACGGTGGGGACAACGTTAAACTTTTATCRTCAGCGTCATTAACGTTAACAATCTTCCTCTGTAGCAAAATTCTTTCCTCCGCCCTCACACAAAGATTTTGTCAATATTAGSTATTTATAATAGGTTAGCTACATGTGTACAGAATATMTTTTAGAGCAGTAGTTTTGTTTTATTGTTTCCTGGTTTTTCATCTTGTCTTGGTCTCAATCTTCCKTTGGTCTTGGTCTCGACTTGGTCCAGGCCCTAACAGTCTTGTCTTGGTCTCGAGACACTGTGGTCTTGGTCTTGACTTGGTCGCAGGTTAGGTGGTCTTGACTACAACACTAATCTTTGCAATAGGTTTGTTTTTCAGAGTTTCTGAAAGTGCAAAATCTTAGGAGCATTGTTTTTTTATCCATGTGTTGCAATGCAAAGACACTGTGTGTGTGTACCGGTACCTTATTTTTGTTACCTTTTTAGGACSTTTTTGGTATAAACCAATGGCTGTTCTTAATATAGCAGACTTGAGGGTTAGGTTTAGGACCAATATATGGATTGAGTTAGGGGTTAATTACATTCTACAGAAATGAATGGATGTCTGTACACAATCCTATAGATAGAAATGCAAATTGCATGCATGTGTGAGTATGTGTTTGATAAATTTACATAGTTCTTATCGTAATCTGGTTTGTGTTCAGGTTTTTTTTTATTTCTTTATTTTTTTACAAACTTTTTACTGAAACAAAACAGGCTATTTTGGAATTTTAACCAGATATTCAAACACTCCTACATTCTGCAGTTGAATCTCGACTAGAAAATGAACAGAAGAAATCTGCCCCTAAAGCTGATCCCTAAAATGACCTTTTGATTTTTTTAGATGCTGGATGATTGGGCGTCCTCATCTTAACAAAGCTATCTGATCCTGCAACTGAACACCATCCTGCAACCTTGAACTAAATTCTCTAAATAAAACTAAATAAAACTTGTGAAGATGTAAAAGTTGTTAGGTCCTCTCAGTCAGCTTTCATTTTTAGGTTTGAACTTAGCAAAAGTTGCAGTGTCAGTTCTGACTGCATTAAGAAGTGTCTGTAATGTTGAAACTTGAAAAGAATGTTGGTGAACTATTTAAAGTTTTGCAAAGTGCAAAATCATAGTTGTCACTGGCAGGAAGTGGGATTGTCTTTCTGTATCAATCATGTTTTAAACAGTTTGTTCTCACAGACACAGTAAAACCCAATGTCAGGCATCCAGGACCTTTTAGAATGCAGGGAAATAAAACAAGGGTTGGCTTTTATGTAGAAAACATGTGTTGTTGTTCACAGATAAAGTGCTGTGTTGCTCAGCTGAAACACGGGGTGGGGCAACCTGACTGATAGTTAACACATGACAGATAAGGACATACCTCATTGGCATTCACATATCTGTTGATGCAAACTTGTACAATATTGCTGATTTCAAAAGAAGTTATTTCATAAGTACTTCATGTTTTCTGCAGATGTTCTGTGATCTGCTGCAGCATTTTCTCTTTTTAACAAATAACCACAAAAATACTTGAATATGGTCACGGGGGAAAAAAAACACAAAAGTCTGTCTACTGTACACAAACTAGTTTTAGCTAACCTTTTGCTGCTTTTAGCTATTATTTTGCTCCTAGTTAGCTAAAGGTAATGCAAAACTAACTTTTACCTTTTAGCTTGCCTTATGATACTTACCATTAAACGTGTCTGTTTGTTTTTAGTTTATTTTTTGAAAACATTTAGTTTTAAGCTTGCTTTTTTCCCTAGKTTTAGCTAGCCTTGTTTTGGCTCTTGAAATAAGGAACAATGTAGTCCTTGCCTATGTGGTTAGTGTTGTTTTTTTTTTCAAATACAGGGCAATTCCTTATTTTAAGTGACATTTGGAAACCCTGTGGTCTACACTGAAACCAGTTATTAGCCCATGTCTTATTGTTTTTGACATTTTGTGTCTTATTAATACCTTCATCTTATTCATTGCTGACATACTTCATCTCATTAACCGGGATTCACAAATCACTAACTGGAGTCGTCTTTGATCAGTGAAGATTTCAACCAGCATCATAGTGATTGTAAATCCTCATTTAGTTGGTACTTTTAACTATTTTCTAAGTAGAATCCATTACACATGCTTCAAATGAATAATCATCTAGCTTTTTAGTAAAAGAAAGAAAAGTAGCACAAGTGGGTCTGTATGTTTGGCACAAAACCTACCAGTGAAATATACACAAAGCTGTGTATTATTTACTATATAAGAATTCGTAGAAACAAAACTTCTTTTGCCTGTTTTGATCAACAGGAAGTGACTGTGTGCAGCAGATAATTGTGTCTTTTTACCACCATCTAGTGGCCGTAATCATGCTTTACAAAGAGGGAAAACCTGTGAAACGTTTGGCTGTATTACATGCTCAGACATTTTGTTCAGTGTTCAAAGTTCAATATTTGTATTTAACGTTCAGACTTGTTTCTTGGAGTGTTTTTTAATGTCAGTACTAGAAGCTGGTAATGCCACAAGAAGACTGATCTTACCTCCGCTTTGTTACAGAATCCAGTGCATCCGACCACGGGGATGCTCGCTGTCGTCGCTGCTCTCAACTACTGTGACGTCGTTCACATCGCCGGCTTTGGATACCCAAGTTTAAAGAAGCCGCTGCATCCCATACACTACTATGGTCGTGCCAATATGAAATCCATGATGGTGGGTGGCGGTCATCAGTTACACGCAAACACTCCTGTTTTTCTCAAAACTAATTCTACCTCCTCTGTCTGTTGCAGAATTCTTACCATGACATTAATAATGAAGCCAAAGCCTTACGACGACTGGAGGAATCAGGAGCCATTTTATACTTACACCCACATCTATGATGCACATGCTTTTCCTTCAACATTATCTGGTTGAATACTAACAATGGCAATGAATAGGTTGTCTGACTTGAATGTGCCACGATTGTGCCTTCTACATTGGGGTTTTGGGATTTTGTACACAACACTGTGAAAGTGTGCAATGTGCTGGATAACTGAACTGCTACAAAACATTTTTTTTAACTCCAGCACTGTGGGCTCAGCATTTTCCATTCTTTTGGTAACTTGCGACCTTTGCATATCCTTCAGAATCGTGTCAAGACAATCTTGGAGGCAGTGAACCTTTTTTTTTTTGTGCAAGAAGTATAGTGGGGTGTGAAAGTTTGGGCACCCTTGTTAATTATCCTGATTTACCTTTATAAATTGTTGATTGTTTGGATAAAAAAAATCAGTTAAATATATCATATAGGGGACAAACTGTGATATTTGAGAAGTGAAATGAAGTTGAAATGATTTACAGAAAGTGTGCAATAATTGGTTAAACAAAATTAGGCTGACACATAAATTTGGGAACCAAAAAAAAAAMAACCTTAACTCAATATTTAGTAGATCCTCCTTTCACAGAAAAAACAGCCTCTAAACACTTCCTACAGTTTCTAATGAGAGTCTGGATTGTGGCTGAAGGTATTTTAGACCATTCTTCTTTACAAAACATCTCTAGTTCATTCAGGTTTGATGGTTTCTGAGCATGGACAGCTCTCTTTAAGTGACACCACAGATTTTCAATAATATTCAGGTCTGGGGACTGAGATGGCCATTCCAGAACATTGTACTTGTTCCTCTGCATCACTCTCCCATACAGCATCTCCTTGTGTAAAGTG